GGTTGCCGCAAGCCCACCCGCCGCGCCGTTCTTTAGCCCACTGGGCGCCGCTCACTCTAGCCAGCCACCGTTAACTCTAGCCCCCGGCCTCTGCTCACTCTAGGCCAATCTTTTGAAAGAACTATGTGGACAGAACAGTACACTAATTTCTTCCCTCTTTTTGCCCCTTTCTAAACTCCATTATTGGTCATTACCCTCTCTCCAACCCATGCAAAATGGAGCGAGCTCTGGCCTTGACCTCTGCCCTCTCCTGCAATCAGTCATTTCCACCAGGCTTTCACTGAGTGGCGAGACCGCTAAGCTCCCCTGCTTCATATGCCTCTACCCTACCTAACACTCCCCTTTCCCACCCCCTTCTCGTCTTTCCATCTCTCTCTCTCTCCTCTAGACGACTGTGAATAAGGGTGACCCCCCCCCATTCAAGAGGCACTGCTCTGTGACGACTGTGCAAACATGCTCTCAGTGCGCTTGAATAGCAGCCCTCCTGTCTCAGGATGATCTCTTGTCAATCTGAGGAGAAGCTGGAATGTATAGACAGATAGAGAGGGTGCAGTTGGTCCCAGCACACTGTGTGTGCTTTTCCTCTTCAAACGTCAGTATTCTGAACAACAATAAAGCACTTTTGTAGTAAGCAGATAGGCCTAAGTTGCAAATCGGAATGCACAATGTTTTTCAAATTTATTGGTATCAGCCAGTATTGAATATTTAATTCTGCATGCTCATTTGCTCTATTTTTGCATTTTAAAATACCTTTGCCATCATTTAATGCTCACATAAAGTAAATCTTTAAAAGCACTAATAATTGAATAATACTGTTAATTGTAATCTTTTGTATTAAACTGATTGTCCATTATTTCATACTGTACATTATAATGTTGCAATTCCTAAATTCAGATTGACCCTATTTGCTTTCAAAATGTGCTTACATTTGTGTGGGCCTCAGGAAACTTCCAAAGTGACTTTAAGTGATTTAAAATAAGACAGAAAAAGCATTAAAATGAGCTATTAAATAAACAAGCATTAATAATTCACCCCCTCAACAACTGTTCTTTGAAGGACTACGGTTCCCATTGTCCTAAAAAATCAACGGCTCCAGAGCGGATGAATCTAATGTTCTGAAGGGTATGTGTGGCAGTCAGTCACCGCACCGGTGTGAATATTTACTGTACTTTGCGATCACAGATTCTAGCCTATGTCTTTTCAGATGAATCCAGTCGGAGTTATATTAAAAATTGTCTTTGATCTTTCAAGCTGTTTCATTTCAGTCAGCGGGTGTTGCATTGCTTCAGACCTGAAATAAAAAGCGGAAATGATCAATTTAATTATTCTAGCTGCTGTAAGAAAAGGCAATAAACGATCTGCCACCTGCAGGATCCTCACATGTGATAGCCTATTAGCCGGGACAACTTCTTTATGTTTACAGACGTGATGTAATGACACAGTGCCATGCTCGAATTTCCCGTGAAAACCTACCCGTACCTCTCAAATTAGAAAACATTATTATAAGCTAACCGTTGTGAATCGGGCTAAAGTAAGGCGATGGTTTTGAACACTGGCTGGTTATGTACTTGCTCAAATATTGATTTCAGATCACTTTTAACCAAAAAAAATTATGGATTGCAGCTTTAACTACTTTGTCTAAATTAATAAACAATAATCAATTAATACAAATTATTAATTAATTAATCATTATTTATAAATGATAATAATAATTAATAAAATTATATAGTAAAATATTTTGGTGTATACTTTTTTTTCCTAAAAACTTTAAAATATTTTAGTGTATATAATTGTCTAAATATAATAAAACACTTAAATCTAAATTATTTTAATGTATACCACTAGTGTATAGTGTAAACTAAAATGTTTTAGTGTATAACATTTTAAATGATAAAAGTGCGTCACAATATTAAAATGGATATTCATTTTGAGATTTGCTCAATTGTATTGAACAGTGCTATTAAACTATTAGTGTTTTTAAAAGTTAACTTTATGTGAGTGTTAGATGATGATAAAAGTGATCTAAATGTAAAAAATGGGGGAAATAAGCATGTACAATTAATATCAGCTGATATCTCTCTCTTCTCTTCTCCTAGTACTCTGACCATCTCTGGAGTAACCCAGGATGATGAGGCCATATATCAGTGCATTGCAGAGAACAGTGCTGGCTCCACACAGTCCAGTGCCCGTCTGACCGTGCTGTGGGCTGACGGCTTGCCGGGTGTGCCCACAGGGGTACGTGCAGAAGTCCTTTCTCCAACCTCCATTCAGGTGTCCTGGAACGAGCCCACCCAAAACACTCAGGACATAATTGGATATGTGCTGCATATCCGCAAGACTGCTGGTAGGACAACTGCTTATGAACCTAATCACACACATCAAATAAAATCAAATCAAAATCAGCTCTACTTCAGCATTGAATATAAAACACTCCTCAGTAAATCAATACTTTATTTAATTTTAAGTGTAAATGTAGATTTCCACAAACGTTATGGAATTCATATTTTATTCAATCTTCACTCCGGGCTCTCTCATTATGGAAATCATTGAGATTTAGAATCAATAGCAAATCACTGCTTTTTTCAGCTGTGGTGGAAATTTAAATCTATACAGCTTGACAGAAAGAGACACGTTTATGTATGCCGTTATAATGGAGCTAAAGCTGTTTTTTGCATAGTCAGGCAACAGTCTTCATCTCTCTGTCAGAGTATACATGACACAATGTGCAATGTAATAGTTAAGGATGAAATGCATGTCACGCATCGCCCCTGTCTTTCAGAGCGAGAGCACAAGGTCTGATTAACAGCTGAGCTACAATGGCATTATCTATGTTTGTTAGTCCGAATTCACAAAACCCTGAAGTAAATATGTGACATTTTAAAAGACAAATTGCTGTTTTAGTCCAAATAAAATCAAACATCTAAACATACTTGGTGGCAAAGATAAGGGAGAAGCCCGAAGCCTTTTCCTGAAAGCTCAGCATGAGGATGGATGTATATTCAGATATCAGTCCCTCTCTCCTGTGCAGCTTTAAAATTGCATGTTGATGTTTTTCTATGCTAGAGCAAATACATCTGAACAGCTTATCTAAGACCTATACTGAAGTGCTCTTAAGTGTCCTCTGCTGCGCTTATTCTTTTCTCTCTCACACTCTTACTGTGGTGTTAGTATGACTATTAGCCACTGCAATTTCGATTTCTGATCTGTCTGTCGCATCTCTCATCAGCTGGAAGCCTCACTGCCCTACAGCGCTATGAGATATGTTTTGGATTCTGAGCTATTTATAATGTATATGATCACTTACAGCAATTTGGCATGAATAAATAATGAGGAAATATAACATTTACTGCAGCCATAAATGTGACTAAGAGAGTTGTCGACATTAAGAGTTGGGCAATTGTTGTGGTTAATCCTTAATATCCATATGGCTCTCACGCCAATGCTTTCGCTCTCCTGCTCCATATTTCTCCATTTGTTCATCTCTCTCATACCATTTTTTGGTGTTTAATGATGGGCTCTCATGGTCTCTCTCTCTTTCCTTCTTTCAACCTTCACACTTTACTCTCAGACCCAGTGGAGATGGAGTACCAGGAGGCTGTGAGTAAAATGACCCTGCAGCAGGTAATCGGAGATCTGGAGCCTTCCACCCGCTACAGCTTCTATGTGAAGGCTTACACATCCCGCGGAGCCAGCAAGGCCTCTGAGACGGCTGTGGAGAGCACTCTGGGAGAAGGTATAAAACATATTTCAACAATCATGCAAACACAAGCTTCTTTTATTGCATAATTGTATAATTCCCAGTTATTTTCAGTTGTTTATTGTGCTGGCAGTAATCAACTAAAAACACATTCTCCCTCTTGAAACTTCTTAACAATGAAGCATTTCCCTCAGAGGTGTTTTTGACACAGCATAGTCTTTCATTCAAGGTCATCAGGGTAAAGTTCCCACCTGTTGTATTTTCTCTTGCTGATGAAATGCATTACACCTGAACCTTTGTGTTTGCATTGCCTACAGTCCCTGCACCACCAGCCTTGTTCACGAAGGTGATTAATTCGACAGTGGTGCAGGCCACATGGGAGCCTTCCACTAAGATGGGCCAGCAGGAAGGATTCAATCTCTACTACCGTAAGGTTCCCGTCCCCATCTTCACAGGACCCCTTACCTTCCCACGTAATGTGACCCAGTACAACATCACTCAGCTGGGTGAGTCTGGACATAGTGGGCTTTATTCATAAAAAATATGAGCAGAATGAATTTCTGTGTAAAATAACACATTTAAAAATTCTTATGCATTCTCATGTTCTTTTGTATTTTTGTTGCATTCAGTGCAATGGGACAGTTAATGAATTCTATTTACATATCATTTATTAAATTTTCTGCTTGTCTTTTCAAGACCCATTATTAATTTATTATTATTGTTGTTGTTGCTTATGCTGCTGTTTAACATTTAGCCTGCATGATATAGGCCAATTAATGCATATGTTTATTTAAAAAAAAAATCATGATGTCAGTTGTTGTTGTTTGTTAACAGTTGTTATTTTTATTATACATTTAGACTATAACACTAACAGTAATAATATAACTAATAATAATAAACATTTATCCTGTGTTTTGCTTTATAGCCAAGTTAACAATAAAAACTATATCATAACATCATTTTGATTAGATATTTTTTTGTGAATTCACTTCTTTTAACACCTCTTTTGGCAGATGCCTCTTTTGTGTATGAAATTAAGATTCTGGCTTTTAACCAGCATGGAGAGGGCAATGCCACTCTGCGCTTTGTGTCACTCAAGGAGGCAGTGGAGAAATCAGGTGCCTGATGCAACACACTGGTTCACTCCCACAATTGCAAGCATAATACCTCACTCACACTGACTGTGCATATGTGTGTGTGTTCTGTTCCTGCAGTGCTAAATACCCCTTGCGACTGTGTAAAAGATGAACAGAATAAAAGCTCCACCACAGGCATCATCATTGGCATCCATATTGGAGTCACTTGCGTCATTTTCTGTGTCCTTTTCCTCATGTTCAGCTACAGGGGAAGGTAAGGAATCAATGCTTCCTATGTGTGCTGGTATCTTTTTATAGTGCATTTATAATGCATTCACAGTGGGCATGGGCTTCACACGACAAAAAAGCCTTATTTTAAATAAAGGTCAACATGTTTTATAACATGAGTTAAATAAATAGTTTTTTACTTGCAGGTTGATGATGTGTAAAACCGTGCAGGCCACCCGACAGGCGGGCCGTAATCTAGCAGCTGGAGTCGTGCTCGAATCCTCCTCTTCCTCACAGGGGGCTCTGGGCCTCACCGGCCCCCACAGGTTCAGCTCAGACAGAAATGGAGAAACCCACACTGCAAAGAGCTGCACTGACTCTAATGAGATGGAGAGACTCTTCTCAGGACCATCCCACTTCTCCCATCCACCTGACACCACCCACATAGTAAGCCTTGAGGAAATGCATTCATTTATAGACATGTGGATTGCATTGTTATGGGCCTTCTCAGAGAACAACTTATGAGTGCATATAAAATTGAGATGGCAAGAGATGCATTTGCCTGAGTGTACTGAAAGGGATCAAAGCAAAACCATAACCCTATGAGCTCTGATGAGATTCCTTGACCTCACAATAACTGAAAGGTACTATAGTGTTTGGTAATGTTTACCATGATTTTTTACCATGTATTTGTGTGTGTTTATTTTCAGAATGCGAGCTCTTCGGTCTCTTGTCCATTGAATGAAACCCAGATGTCCACACTTCCCCTTGATGACTTCAGCCTGATGGAGGAGTGTGAGGTGCAGTTCCGGCAGCATCCAGCAGAGGGCTAACAGGATGAAGACTGATGAAGAAATGAAGGCCAAGAATATCCACTACTCAGACTCCTGTCAAACTCAGGTCAACTGAAGTATTCATCTTTTTCAGTTCTGTTTTTATCGTGCAAAGAATATATTATTCGTAAGTTAATTTCCCTTTGTGGGAATCACTGGACTGTAATGCCGAGGGTCCCTCTGGCCTCATGGTAGGTGAGGTTCTGTGATGGACATCTATTATTTCTCATTGGTAGGTGAACAAATACACTCTTGCAGTTACAGCTGGCAGCACACATTGAAAGTCTCCAGTCACTAGTATCTATAATTGATTTTATTTGGCTTCTTCTGCACAACAGAGAAGTATATTTCCTACTAAAACATATTAGCTCTATTTTTCAACTTGCTGTCTCCTCTTAACCTACCAATGATTTCACAAGCCCATCCATCAGAGACCAAGACCTTCTTCCAGGGATTTCAAATTATTCTCAGGACTTTTTTGTTCACTGATATCAATGTTTTTTTAGTAGGTCTCAGCCTTCATAAAGACTTTAGACTCAGCTATGTGAACCTTAGAATTTGCAACAAAAAACCTACCTCAGCAGGAATGAATGTCTTGTAGGAAGTCTTTGAGATCTGCATCTTGCTGTCTGTTCTGTTTTTATACTCATCAATCGTTCAGTCAAAAGAGAAAAAGGTGCTTCTCTACCTCAGATTTCAAGGACTGCCGCTCCCCTGCTCGCTGAAGCAAAACAAAAAAAATATCCAACATATAGCACTTCCAAATGTTGAAGTCAATGTTCTACCTCAAAATAACGATGTTGTTATTGTCGTTGTGGTTCTTATCTCATATTGAAACATAGCCTCTGTTTGTGAGATCCTGGCTTCACTATGTCAATGAATTGCTGTGTTTTGATATGTCAGTACCTCATGCCAGTTGACAGATGACATTGTTCTATGAATTCTGCTTGTAAAGATGTTTTGATTGTGTCCTTGTATTCATGTAGAATTTTTTTGGTTTTATGTTTCCTGATCAGAGTATTGGAGTATTTTTATTTTAATCGTAGTCGACGCAGTAAAATGGGAAGACTTTTTAATAGGGATGCACCGATACTGAGCTCTTGTACTCGTACTCGTTAAAAAGCCCCGATACCAAACGCCGATACCACACAGCACGCGATAAGTGCCTTATTCAGACAAAGAAACACCGACAACAGAACAACAGACAGCAGAATGGTTATTAGAGATTAAGGATGTCTACAAAGTATATGTATGCAATGAATATAATTTTTTTATTTATTCAGTATTAACGCCTGTATAGCTGACGTGTGCGAGCTGATAAACAAAGCACGCAGAGTGGGTTGAGTGCGCGGCGGCGCGCATGCGCAAGCTTGTCGAGTTAATATCCCTTTCTCACAGACATCACTGGAAAGTTTGTAGTTCGGTCGGATATGTCAAGAAAAAGTAAGTAAAACAATGCACAAGTTACTTAACGGTAGGGAGAGACTTCTGTTGTGTGATCTTTGATGTTCACTCACTTAGCACACGCATCATTTGGATTAAAACTAAACCGTAAAAATAAGACCATTTATAGGGACATTCACTATAAACATAATTTATTTTCAACCTTAGGCATACACGACTTTCTGGCGAAAGTGAAACTAGCAGCCTGTGTGAAATGCACTAGGCTGTACCGTACTTGTCCCTCTCATTCTGCACCAGTACGAATACGTGCACGCGTTGCGCGTGTTTTCCTTGCATGAGTGTTTGTGCATTATATGAGTGGCTTTGGAATATAAATCGCAGCACGTTTCAGATGGAAAAAAAAAACGCGACTTCTATTTCTGAAAATATCACAGTTAGGAGATTTATAACGAGTGGTTCCCAGCATTATTACAGCAAAGTGCGTGATTACAGTACTAAGCCGCTGCAATGGAGCAGCTCTAATGCTATTAAATGAAAGATGATGTACCATAGAGCACAGTGAGAACAGTGAAAGTAACAAAAAATACATTTTAATGGGCATAATTAAGTGTGAAGTGAGGATAGCAAAATAAAGTAAACTGTGACCAATTATACCAAAAAATCTTCACACAGTGGACTACCAGTAAAACTGATACAAATTTGGGACCAAAAATTATTCAGACCGAGTCTAGGGGGAAAAAATTAAGTTCAGGTTTGCATGAACCTGGATGACAGTATGCAGAGGAGACTACAGGCTGTCATTAAAGCTAAGGTTTGCCCGACTAAGTATTGATAGTTGTGTAAATATTGTCATACTAACAGCTGTCTGAATAATTTTTGGTTGATTGTAATCCATTACATACCTTTCTATCAAAGTTATCTAGCATTATCAAGCTGAATTTGTTCTGACACAGTTTAACTCTGAGTTCTTGTCATATTTTATTAGCATTTTCTAAACTAAAGCGAATAAACTGTGATAATGTGAGAAAAGTTGAAGGTGTCTGAATAAATTTTGGTTTGACTGTATCTATTTGATAAATGAAGTTAACCAACTAACATTATACATTCTCTTTTTGTTTCTGTTAAAAAATTTACAAATGCAAAAAAAAAATCAATATCGGTACTCTGTATCGGCAAGTAAAAAAAGTATCGTATCGGGAGAGCACTGGAAAAAGTAGTATCGGTGCATCCCTACTTTTTAAGATAAACTGCACTGTTACTAACGTCTTCAGGATAAAAAAAAAATACTGCTCTCAGATGAACCGCTGGAAGAAGAGAGGCCACCGTACGCAGCGCTGGATAGTGGATGGAATAGTTTGACTTCATGTGTTTTGCATGTCATGTAACAAAAGAACTGGGGAGATCGACAAGTATGTAAAGCTTTCTTTACTGAATTAAGCACATATACTGTTTCTATGGGTGCTGATAGAAGTAAATTGTGATATAGATTAGGTACACATATCACGTGTTGTGATATTTCGTGAAGAATTGAAATGGACTTTGCCTGGGTTGTAACTAAAGGACTTGTGATCAATCACGAAGCTCAAGCACCCTTAGATACTGTTGAGGCCGTTCAGAATCTCTGCTGCATGTTATGACATGAACACCAATTTATGGAAGAACTGAGCATTCTAGAATTATCCAGGAAGTGAACATTCCATTAGGAGCCAAAGCCACTGGAGATTCTCATGGCTTCTATGTGGAGTTCCATCTTTTTTTTTTAATATCCCATGCCCCTCGTCCATGTTTTTAGTGCCACATTGATCAGGGAGCACAAAGTGCATCAGACATACGCACATAACTCGCGCACACAACATCTGTTGGCATTAGACTCTCAGAATGCTGAGTAGAGGATGATGCCTGAGCTACCACCAGTCATCTCTTCATATGTCTGGCCAGCTATTGAATAGCTTTTCGATTGCTTTTCACTGTGTGCTCAGCCACCCAATCCAAGACCAGCTGTTTCTTTTAGTGGGGAGGGAGAGTTGAAAGTACCAGCAAGATGTTCTTTGTCCTCTGGTGTCCCATTGTGCTGTGGTACGTATATATATTTTTTAGTAACCTACCTCGACACAGCAGTCATGCTCTCAGGTCGCTCCTACTCCGATGGGGAGATTGTATTTTTTGTATAGTACACACATACATACACACATCAGAGGAGAACATCTCCTTTGGGCCCTTTAGCATATGAGTGCGTTGCATCAGCTTTTCATGCTCTTTGATTTTTTTTTTATGTGAAGTGTTTTTTTTTTTTCATGTGTTATATTTGTCTGTATCAAATAGTCAGGTTTATTCCGGCTGGTTCAGATGACTCGTCCATCGGTTTTGCCACTCATTCTTGTTCTTAATTTAAAAATGTAATCGTCATCATCATCATAAGTGTGTCTAGATAATGAGTCAAATTTGCATATTTTCATAACACCCACAAATTCTGTAATTCATCTTTTTAAAGAAATGGACAACGTAAGCCTAGATAATCAAAAATCCTATTCATATAAGTATATTTCTTCAAATACCGAAGCTCAAGCACCCTTAGATACTGTTGAGGCCGTTCAGAATCTCTGCTGCATGTTATGACATGAACACCAATTTATGGAAGAACTGAGCATTCTAGAATTATCCAGGAAGTGAACATTCCATTAGGAGCCAAAGCCACTGGAGATTCTCATGGCTTCTATGTGGAGTTCCATCTTTTTTTTTTAATATCCCATGCCCCTCGTCCATGTTTTTAGTGCCACATTGATCAGGGAGCACAAAGTGCATCAGACATACGCACATAACTCGCGCACACAACATCTGTTGGCATTAGACTCTCAGAATGCTGAGTAGAGGATGATGCCTGAGCTACCACCAGTCATCTCTTCATATGTCTGGCCAGCTATTGAATAGCTTTTCGATTGCTTTTCACTGTGTGCTCAGCCACCCAATCCAAGACCAGCTGTTTCTTTTAGTGGGGAGGGAGAGTTGAAAGTACCAGCAAGATGTTCTTTGTCCTCTGGTGTCCCATTGTGCTGTGGTACGTATATATATTTTTTAGTAACCTACCTCGACACAGCAGTCATGCTCTCAGGTCGCTCCTACTCCGATGGGGAGATTGTATTTTTTGTATAGTACACACATACATACACACATCAGAGGAGAACATCTCCTTTGGGCCCTTTAGCATATGAGTGTGTTGCATCAGCTTTTCATGCTCTTTGATTTTTTTTTTATGTGAAGTGTTATTTTTTTTTCATGTGTTATATTTGTCTGTATCAAATAGTCAGGTTTATTCCGGCTGGTTCAGATGACTCGTCCATCGGTTTTGCCACTCATTCTTGTTCTTAATTTAAAAATGTAATCGTCATCATCATCATAAGTGTGTCTAGATAATGAGTCAAATTTGCATATTTTCATAACACCCACAAATTCTGTAATTCATCTTTTTAAAGAAATGGACAACGTAAGCCTAGATAATCAAAAATCCTATTCATATAAGTATATTTCTTCAAATACTGGTTCTGGAACAGAATTGCACAGTATATTACAGTGTAGAAAAGACAATGTGCTGAATATTTATTGTACCGAATGCAATTGTAGTGTTGTCAATGAATACAGTAGAAGCTTTTGTGTTGTCTGTATACAGATAAGTACTCAATTATTTGGCTGTGTTAAATAGAATTAATGGAAAAGACTCTGAACAACAGAAGGTATGTGATATGCTGTGCTGTAGAACTTTGTCCCTAATAATGAAAGTCTCTAAGAAATATCTGTTGGTGCTCTTGGCATTCCTGTAATTACACAAAACTGGTTTCATCTGTTGTGTAATGCGATCTCAATGCTGTTACATCTCCTAAAGTCATCTGCAGTTAGGTGCACTTTTGTTGCTTGATTCCAGAAAGATTTGGTCTTATTATCCTATTGTGCAAATCAGTACAATTGAGTATTTTTAAAACAGTAATGAGCATCATCAGGCTTCATGTTATAATATTTGTAAGATTCCAGTGTGATCTCTAATGTGGCAGAATGTCTTATAGAAAGCAGGTCTTGATTTGGTTGAATTAGGGTGGATGTTTGACCGTAAATGAACAGCTGCTGTTTTCAGTTCTGTGCTACCTGTGCTACCTCAGAATGATGGCATGATCTCATCTCTTTTTCTGATGTAGAGATTCATCTTGAACTTCTCCTCTCAGCCTTTTACAGAGGTATTAACTCGTATATCTGGTTTCAAATAAAGGGGTAATCTGAGCCGTTACGCATGCATTGAACCTGTGATGATAATCCTCATGGTGAAAAGTCTGTTACTGTGATCAAGCATTAGATCCACAGGCTTTCTGGGCCGCTCATGGTGCCTGATCTCGCTTTGTTTCCATTCAATATTTAGTATCGTTTCTGGCTCAAATCCATGAAAGAACAGAATGTTACTAAAATGGCCCCTCGTCTCTAGAACCCACCTCGCACATGTATATACGCGCACACGCGGTCACACCCCTGTAAAGAAAGACATTAGTCCCGTGTCCCAGATTTCCCCAGGGAGACTCAGGGATGAGGCATTAACATGTAGCAGCCTCAGTTCCCGCCAGTGCTATGGCAACACAGACCTATTC